TTTTTTTTTCAAACCCAGATAATCTACAACAAATTCAGATAATGAGTCTACCTTTACCTATCAGACAGACTGTGATATGTGACTGAACAGGAAATGATTACAAAGCACTAAGACGACTCACACCATGCTTACACACTGCAAGCACTTTATAAACATCACAGCCGCTGTCTAATCTCGTGATCTAACACGCGTGTCTTTGCAGTGGCCACACAGCGCCTGCACAGGGAGAACATCCAAACTCCACACCAAGCTTTAGAAGCAGGAACCTTTCTGTTGTGACTCTTCCAGTTCTGTGTCACACCTGTGTTGCATGTGTGACAGATAAATACTGAATCTGTAAGCGTCCGTGAAGGCTTGACAGAGATAAGCATGGAGTAAAGTGAAGACTGTGCAGAACAGACAGTGGAGATCATCAGTTCCTGATCTGTATCTCAGTGTGAACAGGTTGGAGTGAGGACTCACCTGGTTATTCTGTGAGGTTCCACCCACAGGATACCCACTTTAATCCCTGTGCTTTATTTGTACTCTCTGTGAGACAGCACGTCCTTATGCAGCACTTCCTGTACCGGTGTCACTGACCTGTACATAGAGGTTTTTGCCGACTCGGTGGATTCTGATTCGATGAAGACGTCCATCTGCCAGATTGCTCGGGGTGGGAGTGAAGACGTCCGGTTTCTTGCCTGTCTGCAGGTGATACCAGATCTGCACGCTCCCTGGAAAACAAAGCATAGGCTGCTACAGAGCAACGCGACGCTTCATCTCGTGCTCAGTGTTCGATGAAAACTTGGGATCTACAGGTCTAAATCCAATCGTGTACATATAACATTACCAGGATTCAAATGTGTGTTCCCTGCATTCTAATGGGTGATAAGATAAGAGAGTACACCTGTCTGCTGCAAGAGGGGGACTGCCTATTTATAAACACACCACTATATCCAAGCTTCTTCAGTTACTCTCGAGAGTCTGCAAATATTTATCTCATAGCTCTTTGCTCTGAAAACTGAGCGAGTCAATATGTGCTCAGCCCCCCCTCCCCGACACACACACACACACACACACACACACACACACACACACACTCGCTGCCAGATCAAAGAGTCAGAAAGCTATGCATTGTCAAGTGGAGCTAGGTCAATATTACAATTCCCAGTCTGTAAGTGAAGGGCTTTGTGTTGTGATTCATTTCAGATCCTGAGAGTGCTCCAACAGAGCAAGGTCACTGTGGATAAAGTGTCTCCCCTGCCCTTCACTGTTTACAGAGACCCATGCAATTTGGCTGCTCGGGTTTAACACACACGAGCGGATTAGGGCTCCGGCTAAAAACTGCACAGAGGTGTCACTCAATGTGGCACTCGCAGGTTTGGATGTAGCGTGGCTGTTAGCTTAAAGCTCTGAGGTCTTTGTTGTGTCTCAGTCTGAAAAATGGAGACTGTGAGGTGATAAGCTGTAACATATGCAGGACCTTTTCCTCCAGGATCCCAGTCAAACAGTGGAGCTAAAATAGGCTAAAATATGAGCTAATATTTTTAATGCTTAAGCTAACATCATGTGAATGTTATACCTCATAGTAACATTAGTAGGTTAACAGTAACCATCCTAAATTTCAGTCTGTGTCCAAACAGTGTTTATTTCAGTCCCACAATTTATTTAATACGGAGCCCCGCAGGGGACATGGGAAAAAAAAATTAAGACGGACTTTTGCGAGATCTCACAAAACAAACTCGGGATCTCGCAAAACAAGCTCGGGATCTCGCAAAACAAACTCGGGATCTCGCAAAACTAACTCGGGATCTCGCAAAACAAGCTCGGGATCTCGCAAAACGAACTCGGGATCTCGCAAAACAAGCTCGGGATCTCGCAAAACAAGCTCGGGATCTCGCAAAACAAACTCGGGATCTCGCAAAACTAACTCGGTATCTCGCAAAACTAACTCGGGATCTCGCAAAACAAACTCGGGATCTCGCAAAACAAACTCGGGATCTCACAAAACTAACTCGGGATCTCGCAAAACTTTTGCGAGATCTTGCAAAACAAACTCGAGATCTCGCAAAAGTTGAATTCCAACAATGGCGGCAGCTACTTAGTTGTAATATTACTCTTTCTGGGTCACAAAATACACTTTTAAGATATTTTGAGGCGTGAATGTAGTTGTGTAAACGTCAGATACCTGCTTGGTTTACAAGACATTTCATATTTGCAAAAGTGCTCCGACGTTTTCGGAGATCTGACACCCACTAGCTCGAAGCTAACGGGAGGTCGAGACCTACTACAGCCGGGAGGAACAC